TTATATGATTTATATTTTAGTTTATGGTTATTCGAGGTTAAAATATTTATTTAATAAATATTTGGAAACAATTTAAATGTGAGTTCGGTCCCAAATTGATTCGCTTCCTCATATTGTTTGATAAATGTTTTAGTCCCGAATTGCATCAAATCACTCGTTCGGTGATCGAACCCACGACTTAAAACTTTGCGCGAATAAATCATTGATTCGATCGTAAAAGTGGGGATCGAACACGTGATTTTAATGCACAATTGGATCGTGATTTGATCTTAGACGAGTCTAAACCCACGACTGATTTTAACGACGGATATTAATGATTCTAAATTCGAATTTTTAGCAATAATCTGTACGCTTAAATTCCATTTATTCTTTTATTTTTATGTTTTTTTTTTCTATCGAATTATCTGTAATTTTCCTAACAAAATCTTCATCCAAATACAGTTAGATCGATGGAATGGCTGCAGAATAAAATAACATATTTATCGATTGCATTATTGAGCTATTCGATCGTTTATCTACAAATAATTTATATTCTCGAGTGTAATCTGTTTCAAGTGGACAAATCTTTCGATATTTTCACTTCAATTTACGTAAAAAATTCTAAAAAATCCCGAATTAATTCATTTCGTTTCGGTGCATTTTTGAACTTTACCCCCGTTTCTTGTCGCTGGTAGAAGAAACACAACGATCCAAATACGAATAGAACAATATGAACGAACAGAAGGAGCAAAGAGAAATTATGATTTTTTTTTTTTTTCCTCCTGTCATTTATTGATTTTCTTTAATATATTTTCTTCGCCTATAATAAATTCTCTTATGATTGTGCATGTTTTCTTGTGTCTATATGTATTTGTACAGTACATGTGTATAGCTTTGCGTGTATTCTGTATATTTTATGTACAGTACTTCTGTGAATTTCTGTGCGTTTATGTGTTTGGCGCTTGTTTGAATATTTACTGAGTTTCTATGTGTTTGTATGTATGCTTGGTTGTGTTTATGCGTAAGTTTTAATGTTTAATGTATCTCTACGTATTTGTATATATGTTTAGGTGTGTTTACGCATTTGTTTGAATGTTTTTTTAATGTATTTTCTATGTTTTTCTGTATATTTTTTTCAGTACTTTACCTTGTTTTATGTGTGTTATCTTTTAGTGTGTATACACCTTTGTTTGAATGTAACTCCTATATTTTATATGAACAAAAATACGTTAATATATAAAAAGAATTCAAAAAATTACAAGTTATTTTTATCACACATAATTGATCTCACTTTAGAAGAGATCGATTAAATAATTGCTGTTAGATTCCGCTTAATTTTTTATTTTTTCTCGAAGAAATGCCAATAAAATTCGAATCAAATTATCGAAAATAATTATTCTAGATCAAAAAATTGCTCAAGAATAGAAATTGAATTATAGAAAAAATAATAATAAATAATTATTAAGATATTTTCCAACGTGTAGTTTACGAACTACATTTTGATCTGCATCTCAATGTTTTACTATGCTAAAGGATGCGACCAAGTGGAGAGGTTGGGAAATGTTCGTTATCGTTTCTTTTTATTTCGAGGAAAAAGTTTTAAAACTTAAATTATATATATATTTTTAATCTTAATTATGATTATTAAGATAATTATGTAGTAAATAAATTTTAATTTTAATAAATCTGCCATAAAAATTAATTTAAATCACTTTTACGATACGTATATAAAAATGCTGTTAAATTAAATCATTAAAATGATTTATAAGTAATTTTATTCTAAAATAATTTTTAAAGTAATTTATATAGAGTAATAAAAGAGTTTTGGAGAAATATTTTATGAAATTTTTAACATTTTTCCCTTGAGAAAAATTCCTCTTCAGCATCTTTTCGTGATGGATTATGATGCATCTTTATCTAAAGATGCTGATAAATTCAAGAAAAATATGTATTTTATTCGAATAAATCTTGCTTAATTATAAAATAAATAGTCTACATTTAGAAAGAAAAGTCATATTTTTTATAAAATCTTGACGAAAAATACAAAATTTTATGTTTTTTTCGTTTAACTTCCTTCTTTCGTCGCTTTGTGTTTATTAAATATACTGTACGCGTCGCGACGTCGCGGCGCAACTTAATATCCTTTAAACTGGTTTCTTCCACCACATTTTAATGAAATATTGTGGAAGAAACCAAAAATAGTTCATATAAGGTTACAAATAACATTATTTTGGCGAAATTTTTTCCAAAATCGACAATTCGTGAGACATATTGGCCTTCGCGACCTCGCGTGAGCTAACTCTTTTTTTAATTCATAAATTGGAATAAATGAATATTTTAAAAAATTATTAAAATAAAATGAGTGCTACCGGTCAAAAATTTAGTTTCTATTAATATTTTCAAACTTGCTTTAGGCGGCGTTATGTATTTTTGCTCAACAGCCACGCCACGCCCCGGCGCGTCGCATCGCCTACTCATTTAAATAGCACTTCTATTGTTTTAAAACAGCTAAAAATCGAAGAAACAATTAAAATATTCTCTTACGGTTAAAACTAAACTAATTCTGCTTAAAGTAATTAGCTACGATTTATAATTCGAATGATATATAGCGTTACGGACAGACAAATTGCTAACGTAATGATTAAATATTGTACACATCTACGACATAGTAAATGATAACGGGGTAATAATTCATGATATAGAAGACAGATATAATCTTCCCTCAGTCTGAAATTCCCGGTGTTTGATGCAGGAATTGCATATGTCTCCGTTTCAAAGGTTAATCTCGTTTGTATCATATAAGGGGCTGGTGTATAAAGTATGTCTACAAGAAATTGATAAGATACAGTAACATGGAGTGACGTTATTGGCAATAAAACTCAGCCTGTAGATAATGATCTCGTAAATGTCGACGTTATCTCCTTTCCTTCAGGTGATCTTCTCCTTAACTGACCTTTCACTTTGATCTTTTTTCTTTTCTTTTTATTCTAGAATATGTTCTAGATTAATCTTTTTATGTGTATAAATGTTAACAGAAAATGCTTAAAAATATTATATAAATAAATGATAGAAAATACTTTTCTAGAATAAACTCCAGAGATGTTTGTTCTATAACATTTCTTTTAGATTAAATGCTAGAAATGTTACGTTAAAATTTAATCTGAAATGGTTATAATAAAATAAACATAAGAAAATACCATTCTAAAGTAAACTATACCGAAGAAATTCTGAAATAAATTAATCTGTAGAAAATATGTTCCAGAATAAAATTTAAAAAGTTATTAAATTGTTGAAAACACTAGAAATGTTACACAAATAAACTTTTCTTAAGCATTCTTCATCTCTAAACTATAGATTGAATTATTAAAAACAAAAAAAGATGAATTTTGGAATTTATAGTAGAATTTTTCTAGATATAACGATCTACATATAGAAAAACTCTATATTAAAATGTAAATTTTCGACTATAAATTCGTATCTTCTATTATCAGGACTTATTATACTGGCTTTATAGATAATGCTGCAAAGTTCAATAGAAAACAATTTTTATTTTATTGTATATATCTGGTATTTTATTCCATATACAGGTATATGGAATAAAATAAAAATTGTTTTCTGTAATAGAAGATACGAATTTATAGTCGAAAATTTACATTTTAGTAAGAAAAAAGGACATCGAGGCATTTTAATTAATTAAAACTCTATATTCTTTATCTAAAAACTTTTCTAGAATTAAATTCTAAATTTTAGAATATATTCTTAGCGTAAAGAATATGAAAATAGAATGTATATCAAAAATAATTCATTGTGGAATATGCTAGAATTCATAAAATCTAGAAAAAAATTTCTAGAGAAAACGATATAAAAAATTTTCTAGAATATTCTAGAATTCATAAATTCTGGAAATAATTTATGGACAAAACAGTATGGAAATTTTTCTAGAGAAAACGATATAAAAAATTTTCTAGAATATTCTAGAATTCATAAATTCTAGAAATAATTTCTGGACAAAACAGTATGGAAATTTTTCTAGAATATTCTAGAATTCATAAATTCTGGAAATAATTTCTGGACAAAACAGTATGAAAATTTTTCTAGAGAAAACGATATTAAAATTTTTCTAGAATATTCTAGAATTCATAAATTCTGGAAATAATTTCTAGATGAAAAAAAAAATGAAAATTCGTAAATTTCTCACGCAACTCCGACAAAAATTTATTTTAAAATTCGTAAGAAATTTTTGAATTTTTTCACAATTTACATTTAAAAATTTTTTTCCGAAGGGAAAATTCTCATTCTATTTTTACAAATTTGCATATCTCTAACAGTTATCGAATTCATTCCCAATTCTATTTATACAGCCTTCTATTAGTTACAACGTAACTTTAGGCAGACGCCCAAAGAAAAATGCATGAATCAATTTATTTTGTAAAAATACAGAAAAATATTTTAAACATAATAAAAATAAGCTGTTTTTTTTTAAAAAAAAAACAGAATAATTCGATTAGTTCTTATCTACAGAATGCAGCCCTTCTAATAAATAAGTAATACTTCTTATGCGGGAGCATCTAGCACTTATAAATAAAAAGAAAAAAAATCAATTTATGTTGTTTATTTCTAAGAATTTTGTATTTTTTTTAGATTTTTCTGTATGTTTAAATACAGAATTTAGAATTTCTACGTGAATTCTCTGAAATATCGATCCAAAGTTGCTTCTATCTACAATCAAAATTGTTCACTTGTCATATGTTTAATTTGATTAATTGAGAGAAAATACAGTAATTTATTAGAAAATTAATTATAAAAAAATGTTAAAATTTAACATAAAAATGAGTTAATTGAAGAGTATTCAGTTCATTCTTTACAAGAAAACACTTCACTTATCGTCATCTATATAAATATTTTTAGTAAAAATAAATAATTTCTAGAATATTTACATTCTAAAATGTATTTTTAAAGGATGAATAATTCAATAAACTTTCTAAAATAAACATTAATAAACTTTTTTTTTATTATTCTAGATTAAAAGATGCTGGATTCCCTATTGACTTGCTACCTGATGTGGTTGATGCTGGTCAATTAGCTGGACAAACCACATCGTGTTGGTATGGCATACCACAAGGTACACCCGTGTTTGCAGCTTGGGGTGATCTTCAGAGTTCTGTAGTATGTAGCATGGCTAACGAAACTGATGCAGGTATGAAAAAACACGAACCTTCATGTTGTATGTATGTAACTAAAATAAACCGGTCTGTTCTGTTTCAGTGTTGAATATCAGCACATCCGCTCAGCTGTCTTTTATCAAACCGGAAGATTTCCAACCCACCTTGAGCCAATCTTCATCCGCAATTGAGTACTTTCCATATTTTAATGGTCGCTACTTAGCTGTTGCTGCATCTCTTAATGGTGGCAACGTGTTGGCCGTGTTCGTTAGAATGTTACAACAATGGACACACGAATTAGGTAAGTGTTACTTCAGCAAATTACTAACAAAATAACTGATTTTAACAACAAAATCTACTGATTTTTACAGGATTGGGGGTGCCAGAAAGTAAAATCTGGGAGCGGATACAAGACACTGCTATCGATGATGCTAATGCCGAATCAGAAATGGTCATAGTACCAACCCTGTTTGGTGAAAGGCACCTACCTGAAGATAGGGCTTTAGTATCACACATAGATCCTCTTTGTTTAACATTAGGCAAGGTATCTAGAGCACTTTGTAAGGGTGTTGTAAGGAATTTACATTCCATGATGTCTAAGGAGGAGCTTGTAGAAGCGGGTATCGAAAGAATCGTGTGTAATGGTATGGCACTTATTAAGAATTCCGTCCTTAGAAAGGAAGTGGAATCACACTACAGCCTACCAGTTGAATATAAGAATGATGCGGATGCTGCCTACGGTACTGCTTTAGCAACACTAAAATTCTGTAGCTAATTCGCGAATTTAATTTTACAGTGGTATTTACGCGTCGCCACTTCATTATATTACACAATATACAATATAATTTAGTGAAGATTAGTCATGTGTAAGATCCTATAGGAGTTGTTCTCGATACTGTCTACATTATACGTTTTATATGAATTCGTATATCATATGTAACTTATTTTTTATTGAAAACTATTAAAAAATTATTCTAAAATTAATACATTTGTGATAATTGTATTGTTAAATGCAATTAAGTGATAATTAAGTCTTGAATTAGAAACATCTGTTTCGCTTCGATTCTATTGTTTCTCATTAAAACAGATGTTAAAGGTCGTTACGTGTTGTTATATTGAATTACTATACATGAGTGAATTCTGTACAGGGAAGCGCTTAGATAACTGTACATACAGACAAATTAATTAATTTTAATTGTTATACGATAGCTTACATGTTAAGAACGTGTTTCTAGTGTTTCCACGTACACGTAGATATACGTTTCTTGTGCCTGTACTGATGATTTGTACACGTAGAAGAGTGTTTCTGGTATTGTTAACAGTTTACACACTCATGTACACGTACTGAACACGTGTTTGATGCTGTGTACGTGTCATAGGGCTTTGCTTACTTGAAAAGGTATGTCAGCTGTTTTTAGTGCTTCTACGCTAATAAATTGACATACACACTATAAACATGCACTTGATTATAAGCAAGTTTCTTGTAATAGTAGAATAAGCACTAAAAGCATGCTTCTGAATGAATAAATCATTAGTACAAGCGGTAGAAACATAATTATAAATGAACAAGCCAATTAGTGCAGTATAAAAATGGATTTTAAGGTACAGCGTGAAGGACAGACTCATCTGTAAATTTATTGTAAAGGTACATGGAAAGAATTAAAGAACTATACACGAATATCTGCACAAGTGAATTTGCCATAGATGTGAAGTGGGTTATGAATGATGACAAAGCTGAAATTGTTTGTCATTTTTGTTGATGATGTCATTAATAAATAACACTTAACATCATTCTCGTGAATGAAAAATTGATTTTCTTCATTGTTATCAACACTTATAATTGATTTGTCACGATTCCTTTTGTTTTCTTTACTTTGATTAATGATCAAACTTGGAACTCTAAATTACTAAATTTGTACGAAATAAATTGCAATATTTTATTATAATTATTATTTTTTAAATTAAAAATGAATTATTATAATTGTTTTCATATATTTTTTTTAGCCGTTTTACTGTATTTTATTCGTTTATAAAATATTTGTGTCGCCGCGCGACGCGTTGTAGCCACGTAGCTGCAAATTGAAATTTATATTAAAAATAACAAAAATAATAATAATTAGTAGCGAAAAAGTGCTTTTCTGATGAAATTAAATGAAAAATTTTAATAATTATTTCGGTCTCTGACGAGAAACTCTTTAAACGTCGTCATTTGTGTGTTGAATTTGATGCCCTGCGCTTTGACGCGCCGGTGCAACGTCGCGTCGCTTCTCCTGAATACCGCATTTTTTTTAATAATTAAAAATGCAATGTAAGTTTATAAAATTTTTTCGAAAAAATTCCTTATTTAGGTTCGATTAAAAGTATTTTGCATAATATTTTAATTAGTTTAAGTCAATAGATTAGGTTTTTTTTTTATTGGTTTTGACGCGACGTCGCGCGCGTATTTCATTTCAAATAGTCCTTCATTAAGAAAAAAGTGCTAAAATCAAATAATTTTAGGGATTTTAATGCAGTTACTAAGATTTACAGCGTAACAAACAGACAAAAAATCGAATGTTGTCTGTCTGTTACGCCCTACACGATTATTGGCTGAAAGTACGAGAAAAGTATTTCACTATTATGTCGCCATCTGTCGAGAGATTCAGGAAGTAAAATATTTCAAAAATTTAAAATAATTTTTAAAATTTTGTATATTGTAAACGTACGATCCACCAATAACGAATCATGTACAGCTAAAGTTGTTGCAAATTTCTGAGCTATAGAATGCTCTAAGAGCTTCAGCAAAACATTGCTCAAACATGAATGAACAGGAGGAATTACGTACACAAAAGGGGAAGTTAACAATACGAAGACACTCGAACGACACTTAGACCACTGTAGAAACGTCACGTTTACCATGAATGACCATTACTACTGATGAATTGATGGCCATTAATGGCCGAATGGATAAAATCACTGAACAGTGGGAGTTCTCGGGGTTTTTATTTACGTTTATAACACCTAAATAGTGGCCAGTTTTGAATAGAAAATCCTCCCGGGTGGTACCCCTCGGCAGATCGCCCATTTGTCGCCTTGCAATAAACAACTAAAACAAAACTGAATTGATGAATGATGAATTGATTGATATCAGGATTGTACAGAACTTACATGTGGTCCGGGAATTCGCGTTTTTCATGAACTATAGAGGGCACTGCACTTTAACAAAATGGCTACTTTATCTGGGTCACTTGTAACTACTAATGTAAAATTAATCACATATTACTGTCCGTTATAATGATATATTCTGCTTGTAGTTGTTTATCGAGAAAGTTTATAGAAAGAGAACAATTATTGCTAGCAGGACACGTCATTATGTGGTATCGAAACAAATGAGCGAGATTGTTCTATACATATTTGTGTCCTTTGTGTTAAAAAAAACATCAGCTTTGACATCTGTCCCATTAGGGCCGGATTTACAAGTATGTAAGCTGTTGCTTAGGGCCTCGACTTTCAAGGGGCCTCAAACATTTCTACAAAAAAAGAAGATTGAAGTCAAATTTTGTAATAAAACTTATAATAGAGCGAATCCCTTCTTTACCCAATTTAGACACCGGTTTTTGAACAAATGTAATACATAGAATGTTTCTTTATTTAAAGCCGGAGTCTTAAAGATTTTATTTTTTTGTTAGTGAAAAAATAACACCAGTTTTATGGAAGTAGGAACCATAAGAATTCCAACTTTTCTCCGGACCAGGGAAAAATCCCCAGCTTCCCTCTTCTCGATGGCCCTGATTCATAAATGGGTACAAATTTTCTTACTATAGAGTCCGAGTGCAAGTTACTTGCGCGCCGCCCCGGTGGCAAATATTTACATAACACATAGGAGTTCTCTAAAGAATGCATATGCGTTGTATCTGAGACATTCCGAAAACGATACCTACGCTTATTGTTTTTAATTTGTATTTGAGTTATAATATTAAACATGGGTAAATCAAATGTAAATTGCTCTGTGTTTGAATATTCTAATACACTCAATATGTAACGCCGAAAGTTTCATTTTATTCTTTTCCGGCACGTCCACACCTTAAACAGAGGCGCCAAATTTGGATAAATTTTGCTAAAAGACAAAAGTAAGAAATACAAAATTTATTGTTAATTTTTAAAAAATTGACACGAATAATTTTCTAACAATATCCTTGTAAATTTAGTAAAAACGGATCGCAGTGGCTACCCTCTAAATCAGCACGTATATGTAGTATGCATTTTATAGATGGGAGGGGAAAGTGAAGATCCAAGACGTCCAATTTATAATCCAACAATGTATCCCGAAAAAAAAAGAAGCAATGAAGAAAATTGTTGACATGAACAGTCAATGAACAGACATAAACGCCTAATGAACAGAAGGAACATTTTATTTGAAGAAGAAGCAGGAAGACACTTTGATGTAGCAATTGAAGACAATTTTTTAGACCCCTTTGGAACTCAAACAGAGGTTACAAACGAACAATTAGGAGATGTAAGAATTTTTATTTGTGTAGTATTAGTAAATCTGCAGTCACACCAATTATAAATGAGTGAAATTTTTTTATTGTGAAAACACTATAAAACTTAATACTTAAATACTATTTACAATTGCAGGTAAATAATAATTAAAGTAGAATATTTGCATATTCTCTAATAGTGAATAAATGAATATCTCATTTTTTTCCACTTTTTAAGGGTTCAAATGGTGATGAAACCTTTCGGATTTTTCTTCTATGTGTTATGTAAATATTTTCCACCAGGGCGGCGCGCGAGTAACTTGCACTCTGATTAGGACCTTGGGCGTTAATCGCTTTAGTTCCCAGCAATTTTTGATATTAATGTAATTAAACATAAAAAATACTTAAAACTGGAAAAAAACGAAAGAAAGGCGTTAATCTTGAAGAAAAAGCTTCAAACTTTATTTTCCATTGTCTCGCCTTTCTGCGAAATTTGACACTGATGAGTCATTGTTTACACAGCTAATGACCTTGAGAACATCTGGTGTTGGATTTCCCGGANACGTCGCTCATTGACTCACGGGAAATTTGTTGAAAAAATGGCTGATACATTTAAAATCGAGGTTTACAAGCGAGGGTAAATAAACAAATTAAACTATTTTAAAGTATTTATAGAATGTTTAATAGGTAGAAATATAGATCCGTATGACGCGATTGGAACGGTAAGATTTAACCTCCGAATGAAGGGGTGGCGATCCCCCTCTGTGCGAAGAATAAATGTCTAATGAACCATACCCCTACGCGCGACCCTTCCCGAGATATAGCCCTCCGAAAAGTATTCTACAGGTCACGTGACCGCCTGTTTGCCACAATTTACTCTGGGAATGAGCGGTTCGGCGACCCCCCCCCCCGAGTGTGCGCGAACGCGCGTTAAATTTTTTTTTTCGTGCGGTAGGCTCCCTTTTGACCACGGTGTCACGTGATCAGAATTTTCAGGGGCTTATATCTCGCGAAGGGTCGCGAGTAGGGATATGGTTCCTTTGACTTTATTTCACACCAAGAAACCTTTTAATTATGTTCATCGTAGGTTTGCCTGGACCTACAATAGGAGGTCAGGTTGACGAGATCGGGCCCACAACTGTTCTGTTCCATCATCTATATCTATCTCTATATATATATATATATATAAATGGACATGTATGTCCCTATATTTCACTTTTTCGCCAAAACTACACATCGCACGTGAATGGTGTTTGTATGTGGTGGTAGCCCCAAGTCTCCATTCGTGCATAGGGGTGGTTGCGTCTCGATAGCTATAAGGGTGCGGGAGATATGAGGCTGAAAGTGGTTGAAAGTGGCTTTCTATTTCGAATGTTTTGTTCGAATTTGTTCGAATTAAATTCGAACATAAAATTCGAATATTGGTTCGATTATAGAACGATTGTAAACGTTCCAGAAACGTTGAAAATAGTTCGTTTGACTAAACGTAAAAATTCTCTAATTAGTCTGAAAACGGGGGACCTAATTCTTGCATTCTGTGAAAACGGGTAAGATTAGCTATAATGTAATTATCTTAATCTTCACTATCGTTACTTTTTACCCAGCGAAGCGGGTCCTTGCAGCTAGTGAAAATATAAAACTTATCGCTACCCTCAAAATTGAGCTTTTTGCCATTCTATAATAATTATAAATATAAAAAGTTATAAATAAAGGTTTCTTCTTCTAATAGTAAAACTTTTTTGTGGTGAGGAACGGAAGCCGACATATTCAGTAGGACCACCCCCGAAAAATTTCTGGTGATTTTTCGACCCGTCCGGATTCAATCCCGGGTCCCCAGAGGGGTAGGCTAGGCCATCCAGCCGCTAATAGTGAGGTTAGTGGTATTTATCACGTCTTTCCTAATTATCCTCAATTAAATAAAATCTAGAAAATAGCTAAATTTGAGTTGAAACAGTTTAGATTTATATAACTTATATAATTGCTTAAATCTCAAATATAGGGACATACAAACAAACTAGATTTAGATGAGATAAATAGATTCTAAAGTGAAAATCCTGCTGGACTCGTGGTATTGACTTCAACGTGTTTGACTTAAAGTAAAATGACGGTCGGTAGTACTCGTCGTTGCCACCCATAAAGTGGCTGTATCTAAGTTCACA